ACATGAAAAACTAAGGTGAAGTACATTGTATTTAGCATTTAAGGTAAATTACATCAGACAAATGATTATCTTAAAGTGTAGCAAGAGGTTCCTGTCTGTTCCGGTTTCTCTTATTGTTAGTCAAATTAACCAAATTACTGAGAAAGTCACCTTTTGTTTGTAATGGCTCTTGGTGCCTCTGCCCCAGTCTTTGAGTAGTTATGCTGATTGGATTAGGACTGTCAGACTGATTGGATTAGCACCTATGCATTTGAATGACACTGTTATGCTGATGAGATCAGGGCTGGAGAAATTCCGGTAACGGGCTGATTCCTTTATTGCATTTGCATGCTTTGTTTAGATTGTCGCCACCTCTACTGAATGAATCCCGCCCCTTAAATGTATATAAACTCTACTGTGCTGAGCTATAGTCAGACTTGGATGACTGCAGCGACGCACAGCGAGTCCTCAATAAAGAGTGACTTCTGTATGAAAAATATCCCAACGTCTCCTGGTTTCTGCTTCGACGAGGAAAAAGTTTCCGACAGAGCATTGCAATAAACAACTCTAAAAAAAAACATTAAGAAGGCATTTGTCTCAAAATATAGCCAAACAAAACTTTTAGAGATTCCCATTAGCTATACTTAAATCTACAACATAAAAAAATACATGGAATAATAGATCAAATTAGCACAGAATCAACTTTGCGCTACTGCCAGTGAACGTGGCAAGGATCAGCCAAATTTGCACATGCCTCTTGAAAAGCGGACGTTTTGTGCGATCTAGTAGTTTGGAGGAAAATAAAATTAAATTCTACCCCGGGGCGTCTTTAGTCCCGTTGTATCCCAAGATTAACACGCACTCTAAAAAATCCATGAAAATAGGGCAACATGTACTGTATTTATATGAAGGAAATTTTCTGTATTTATTTTTTTACAGGTGTTTTACCTCTATTTTGTATTTTGCACTTCATTGCATTGTGTTTTAGGGTTAATGGAAATGTATGTGCTAATAAAGTCACCAAAATGTGCTTTTCTGTCCCAAAATATGTTTAAGTAGGTAAACAATACAATATAATTCAATATCAATATTTTTAGTTACTAAGTAATATAGTCAAACCTGAGTATTGAAGTCTTCTCTCCCTGTATCATCAAATCAGGCATGAACTGCAAATGAAAGTTCTCTGTCAAATGTGCATCAACTTATAGGGAAGTGGAAATGTTTTGCATTCAATAAAATCACCTGACATGGCAGTAAGAAAGTGAAACTGCTTTATT